GGAGCTCTGCCTCTGAGCCCACAGCTGGGGAGGGACCTGCAGGGCTCTCTTATCACAGGAGGGGAGTCTCTTCATGCAAATCTGCTTCCTTCCCTCTTGTGACTTGAGGGGAAGCTCCCTGGTGAGCAGTGAACACAGACCTGTCCCCATCCCCCAGTGTCTCTCTGAGCTCTAGTCTGAGCCCTGAGCCTGAGGGCCCCATGCTGGTAATTTCCTACGTTCAAAAGAAGGGCCAGGAGGTGTGAGGAGTGGAGAGTGGATTTCACCTGATAAAAAGGGCCTCAGAGGAAGCATGAAGTCATGGTCTTTGCACCTGAGCTCTACCAGGGGATCTGGACTTAGGAAGTTGCACATACCAAGGCCCACAGTGCCCCCTGCTGCCCACAGCAGGAATGCCATCCTACAGGTGTCACTAGTTCATGTAAAGTGACTGCTACTGAGCCCTTGATATATGCCAGACCCTTCGCTGAGTGTTTTGCAAGCGTGACCTGACAGGACTTTCATGTTAACCCCACAACAGCCCTATTTTCAAGGCACAATCTCTCCTCCAGTCTACTGATGAGGGATGCAACAACAGGAGGTGACATAGTTTTCCCAAAGTCCACAGACAGCAGTGAGTGGGACCAAGAGTCCATCCGGTAGACTCAGCTCAGAGCCTGACCCTCCAGTCGTCCCTGCCCTGCTCTCCCTCAAACCCTGACTCCTCCTCCCCCCTCATCCCAGGCCGCCCAGGTCCCTCTTGTCACCACCCTCTCCTCTTTCATCAGGCGCACTGTCCTCCCTGAGTGCTGTGGACAGAGGTGGGGACACTTCCTTTGCTCCCTCCATGGCAGGTGACCTAAGGTTCTGCTCCTGGGTCGGCCACTGTCTAGCTGTGACCTCAGGCAAGTTGCTCTTCCTGTCTTTGCGTCGGTTCCATCTGTAAAAATCTGTACCAGATATTCCCAGCTGTAACGTGTGTGATGCAGAAAATGCTCATCTCATAGAGTGGCTGAGATCAAAGGATTTGATAAGCAGGAAGTGCTGTGAGTAGCCCCTGCCATGTATTAAACACGTACGAATGTTTATTCCTCCTCCTGCCACTGTCCTCATCCTCATCTGTACTCTTATTACAGCACAAGGGCACTGGAGGCAGAAGAAGGAGGGAGGGTAGGAAAACAGAAAAGCTCTGGGTTTGGAACATTTGACACTGGCAATATTTCCTTGCAACGGCAACATGTACGTGTACACACACACACACACACACACACACACACACGTGCACACACGGCACTGTTTTGTGCACAGGCCAAAGGATAGGGAATCCTCCCAGCTTGCTGTCCTGATCAGTGACCTTCTGTTGCAAGGACCTGGACTGGTTCCCAGAGACATCATGAGAGTGTGTCCCAGCAGAACTACAGCAAACCACTGTGTCTTGTCCACGCTCTGCGCATGTAGCTCCCCTGGTGGCCTCCCTAGAGCTGGCCTCACTTGTGGCTTCCTGGTGCCAGGAGGATGTGCTCATTTCTGCAGAAGCTGTCATCCCTATCTGCACGAATTTCACAATCAGTTTGTGCGCTGGGAACTGTAAAATTGGTGACGTGGAGCCTGGATGGGTGGCTGTGGGTGGAAGGTTGTAGGGCTGGGCTGGTGCCACTGAGGGGAAGAGACACTGGGGGCAGAGAGAGCAGGGCCCTCACGCTGTTCCCTCCAGCTCAGTCCACTGAGGCACGAGGGGGAGGTGAACAGGCTCTTAGGCTGCAAAGGCCCCAGCACAGCTGAGCTGGGCTCAGGACACCAGGACCTGCAGTTGCAGGAGAGAAGGAGACGAGCCCAGTGACCCGGGGGGACTCTGTCAGGGAGGCAGCTGCCCTGAGCCCACCCCCTGAGGAACTGAGGTTGTCCCCTGGCTGGGAGCCCATGGCAGCAACTCTTGTCCCCGCGCCAGAGATGAGCTCGCTCTAGTGATGGTCAGAGAGTGTGGATGGACCCTGGACACGCAGGGAACACTGACAGCTGGTGGATAACACAGGTCATAACAGCGGGACACCCCGGTTAGATTTCTGTGGGACCAGCCTGGGCATCTACTCAGGATGATGATGGACGTGGTAAGGTTGTTCCTCCTGAAAAAGTGGAAGAGAAAGTTTCCTTTATTCCAGCCTCCAAGAGACAGAGAGTAAATGTCTTTCCTTTGAGCCACCAGGTCTGGGGCAGTTGATGGCAGTCCTGGCAAACAATGCAGACCCCCTAAGAACAGTGTGCTCAGGGCAGCACCTGCAAGGCGGGGCTCCTGGCAGATGCCTTTGTCTCTGTGACCACAGTCCCCTGGGGAGGGCCCTTCCTGTCCTGAGTGTTCCTCCGCAGCTTGTCTGAATTCCCTTCCCAGGAGCCTGTTGCAGCCCCAGGCAGCAAACAGTGTGCCCTGTCACTCAGAGCCTCCGTCCCAGGCCCGCCCCTCTGGGCCCCGGTGGGGTCTCTAATCACACTCACAGGCCACTGTCCAGCTCCTGCCAGTCTGCTGAGGGGCGAGGTCCCGGGCAGGGAGGGATGGCCCAGGACCCGGGGCCAGAACCCCTTCAGCATCCTTCAGATGGGCTCAGCCTCCGCTTCCCGACCTGACGGCGGCGCCCCCTAGTGGATGCAGGTGCCGCCCCGGACCTGCGACTCCTCTGCTGCCCTCTCTGGCGGACTCCACCTGGGGACAGTTTCTGAGACATGCGGGAGTTGGCCTGAGACAGCCCTGGGATGCTCAGCTCAGCTCCTGGGCCTGGATCTTAAGTCATTTCAGTCTCTCTTGTCCCTGCCCCTCCGAAACCCTCTGTGCTCTCTGTCCCCATCTGAGTCCGATTTTCATGAGTGAGTCAGTAATAACTGCTGCCAACTAATGAGCACGTAGGGTGCATTGGGCCGTGTCTTACATACATGATAAATATGGTCACGTGAGTTCTTGCCCCGCCTCTTGCTTTCCAGGAAATTTCTCACCTGTCAGTGAGGGCGGATTTCCAGGTTTTAAATGCTCACAGCCACACAGCAGGTGACAGAAATGGGCTTCAAGGACAAGCCTCTGTGCCTCAAGCCCATGACCTGGAGGACTGTATTATTCCTGTGACCTGTTCCAGTAAGAACACGCAGTGTCTGTCACACAGGAGTGGTGGGGGGTGCAGTGTCACTGGAGCCCTGGAGTCTGAGGCGCTTCCCTGTCTCCAGTGGAGCCTCCAGCAGCTGCCCCCTGCCCTCGGGGTCGTTGCTTCTCTGCCGCCCTTGGCCGTGACTCTGCTCTTCCTTTGCTGAGTCTGGTCTTTGCGGCCCTGTCAGTAGCAGACCCGCCACTTTCTTCCAGCCAATGAGAGGCCTCTGCAGGGGCTACTGTTCCATAAAAGCAGGTCCCTGGGGTTGTGCAAAACAACAGCCCCTTGCAGGAAGCCAGCTCCGTCCTGATGGCTTCTCTCTGACACCTGTGGTGGGGACCAGCTCATTCACCCTTCCAGGGTCAGGGGCTGAACTGCAGGTGACGCTCACACATGGTGCCTGAGCTCTCTGCCATAGTGAAATAGCAGGACTCTGAAATGACAGCTTCCCTGTGCCCCTGCCCTGTCCACAGTGAGACCTGGTGCTGTGATTGAGGAGTCAGCACTGAACTGTCACAAGGTGCACAGCTCTGTGTTGGGGTGACCTCTTTCCAAAAAGCCCTAACAAAAGGCCACTCACAATGCCCCATCAAGAAAGAAAGAAAGAAAGAAAGAAAGAAAGAACTGCTCTGTCATTTTGCAGGAGGCAAAAAGGTGCATGCTGGCTGCAGGGGCAGCCGTGAGGGCGAGTGTCCACGGGACTTAGACATTGGCCCCCAGAGGGAGCGATGCACAGGGTCTCTAGACTTGTCCTGTTCCACTAACACACTCTGCAGTTTCACGTGCAAGCCATCCCTGTGCATGTAAATATGTAGTCACTGCTGTGTTCAGACACATTCCGTTCCTCACAGAGCTGATGACAGGCAGTAAATGAGATATTACGTGTGTTGAGAGCATTGCATAGCTGGGCACAGTGGCTCATGCCTGTAATCCCAGCACTCCGGGAGGCCGAGGCAGCAGGATTTCCTGAGTCCAGGAGTTTGAGGTTGAAGTGAGCTATGATGATGCCACTGCAGTCTCCGTGGGGTAACAGGGCAAGACCCCCCCAAAAATGCTGGTTACAGACTGAGCCTGACCGCACATGGGCTAGACCACTCTCTTCATCATTCGCATGCTGCAGTAACTCATAATCAGCCACCTCAACTGTCCCCTACTCTCTTCCCTAGTGAGGACAAAAGAAGAAAGGTCTAAAAAGCTGAAAAGAAAGGCCCTGTTACAATAGGAAGTTGATGAAATAGCTAGAGACAGGATCCCAAGGTGACACCGCTGAACTGTCCCCACTTGCACACTGAGCCACCTATCCATCATACGTGGCTCCCTCTGTTGAGCAGGTGGAGAGTATGTCTGAGCACACAGACCTCAGGCAGGGACTGAGCCTTTGCTCCCAGGTGGCCTCACTGAACTGATGCTCCCAAGCTCTCACTTTGCCACGTGGTAGAGAGAGGAGGACACATTGCCTCAGCCTTGAACCTGAGAGATGTCCCACTCCAGGGGAGGTGACAGGGAATCCTGAGACCGGACACAAGCAGAAGCTCAGGAGGGGTCTGTTCTCACTTCCTCATCACATGGGAGGTGTAGACAGAGCCTCCCTTCCCCACCCTGCACGGAACAACAGCAATAACCTGCCTCATCGCTGGGC